TGGTTGCATCAGATGCAAGTGATTCGGGTATTGGAGCAGGGATACTACACAAATATGAGGACGGGACAACTAAACCCATAGCTCATGCTTCAAGATTATTAATTGCAGCTGAAAACATCTACACCCAGATTGAAAAGGAAGCATTAGCCATCATATCTGTTACGAAACATTTCATGAATTCATATATGGTAGAGACTTCATACTACAGACATATAATTGTCTATTATTGTCCATATATAGATCAAAAAAGGGTGTTCCTACACATACGGCAAATAGACTGTAGCGCTGGGGAATTATCCTATTGAACTATAATTATAAAATGGAATTTCTACCATCCAAAAATTAAGTCATGCAGACAGATTGTTTTGACTAATACCAAAATACTGAGAACCACTTTTGGACGAAGTAATTGCGGCGATAAGGGCCGAAAATGAAATTAATAATGTATTATACAACATTGTAAGAGAACTGCCCATAACATTGGAGAAAATAAGAATTAAATCGGAAAAAGATGGCTTTATAATGAAAATGACTGAGCAATTAAAATTTAAAGGAAACATTACTGGAAATATTGCATTTTCATTATGTAATAATGTACTTATATACACAGAAAGAATTGTGAGACCAGCATCGTTGCAAAAATGTATGTTAAAAGAATTTCATATAAGATATCCAGGAATTTCCAGAAATGAAATCCTTAATGATGTGTTATACCTACTGGCAAAAAATGCATCGAAAATATTGAAAATTTAGTGAAATCATGCAGAGGATGTTCTCTGGTAGCGAATTCACCGCCTATCAAAATTAAATCTTGGCTGAAAACCTTGGTCTAGAATACATATAGACTTCGCAGGACTGTTAAAAGGATCATACTACCTTGTGGTAGTCGATAGTTACACTAAATGGACAGAGATATTAAATTTTAGAAGACTGACTGCACAAGATTTTTGCAAGATTTGGTGTTCCTAACTATCGTCTTAGACAACGGGACACAATTCACGGAATTTAAGGGTTTTTGGAAATCATTAGCAATAGAACATATGACAACTTCCCCTTATCATCCAAGATCAAACGGACAATCGGAACGGTTTGTCGATACGTTTAAAATGTCAGAGGAAGAAGAGTCAGATGAAGTAATGCTGGGGTTTATCACCTTAACACCAAAGCCGAACTCCGTGTCTGGAATGTCTCTTGCAGAGTTGATGTACGCCAGGATAATTAAGTGTGTCTTTAATCAATTATTACCAGAACGTAAGGCGAGAGCATTAAGAAATAACAATAGAAGTAATTTCTTCCAATCTGAAGATAATGTATATAAGAATTCTCGGAAGATTGCGGTGTAAAAAACTGATCGATAAAATGACATACATGGTACAGGGAAAAAGGTGGGGATATAAGCGGCAACTTAATCAGTTAAAACGCCGATTCACTGATTTAAAAAGTCTCCAAAAAGAGGAACGTATGGACATTTTGTATGACACGTTTGGCGTACTCACGCCATCAGAAATTGTTAAACAACAAAGAATAGCAACAGAATTCCTAAATAGTGAACCGAACCCGAAGAAATATAGACTTCAGGGAAAGTCATCTCAAAGGGGACGTGTCATATAGGAAAAAATTGTCGCTGCCGACACTTGAGTTTGAACACAAATAGCCAGAGTGCAAGCACAGCCCACCTCAACTTGTAATAATTAGATCACTTAAATATATATGCTGGAATTGAAAGCGCCTGATCGAGTATTTGTTCAAAGGCGTTACTATAATTGTATCTGTATCTTACAAACGAGCATTGCATGCATGCATATATATATATATATATATATATATATATATATATATATATATATATATATATATATATATATATATATATATATATATATACAAAGGAATTATAAATTATCATTATTATTCTATGCGCCGTGTCCTTTCACGACATGGGCGGTTATGGCTCTCCAAAATATCCTGTCTTGATAGCTCTTAATAAATTTTGTTTTTTATATTTCTCCTAAACGTTATTTCGCTATCAATTTTACTCTAGGTAAGTAATGAGGTAATTTTCCCTGTACCCCCGCCTTCAATATGTTCTGTGAGGATGAGATCGTTCAGTCCCTCTTTACTCATTATGCATTCCAGAAACTTCAACTACCTCTTCCTGATGCTTACAAGTCTCTTTTTTGTTTCCATTTTCTCTAAAACCTTGTTGATGCTCACGTATCCTCTGTCCATGGTATCCTCACCATTTTCCTGTATAATCCCTTTCTTCTGCGTTCAAGTTTCCTTTTCATCTGTGAATTAATTCTCGGCGATCTTAATGCATCTTAAATGTAAAATTAGATACCGAAAATACGCATGTATAATCTCGTGCACGATGTCCTAATGTATCTCGTTAAATTCTCTTGAAGATATTTTTTAAAGCCAATTCCAATAATTAGGCGCAACTTTGTTGTGCTGAATGCACACGCAGACACATGGAATTATAAATTTTATGCGCACCATCACACAAGTAAACATGCTGAAATGTAATTATATATATATATATATATATATATATATATATATATATATATATATATATATAATATTCTGTCTAACCGATAGAATTACATTAGCAAACATAACCTATAGAAGAATATGAAAAAAAGACATTGCCAAAATCATCATCACATCTGATAAAACGGGCAATCTATATTACTACAATGTCACCGATTATCACAAAGCTACCTGTAAGGAAGTTAATAAAATATATAAAAAAAACACCCAACTGAATGGGAAAATGATATCAACAACTAGGCAAGAATCATAGCCACTACACGAAAGATTTACGCCAGGCTGCATAAGCTTCACAAACATGCTTTTATTATCGTCAAAGACCATAAGGATAATCTCCCAAACAACCGACAGTTCCGATTGCTTAACACTTCTAATAATATAGACAATATCAGTAAGGCTATACTTGAACGAGCCTGTAATTACACCAGGAATTCCACAGGGTTTAACCAATGGAAAATTACTAAAGACGCTATCAACTGGTTCACTAATATAAAAAAATAAAAGCGAGTGCACCTCTATGCAATTCGGCACCTCCAACTTTTACCCATCGATCACCGAATATCTATTAATAGCTGCTATAACCCTGGCCAAGAGTTATTGTACCCTCATCGACAAGGATATCAGCATCATCATTCAAGCCCTTTGAATGGCTCTTAAGCCTTGAATTGGAAATATCTTATTAAAAATACAAATTCGAGGTCACCAGTAGAAATAATGTTAAATATTACGTCTAAAAAAAGAGTCATTTCCCATTTTCTTAACTTCCCTTAAACCCCTAGTGAGTCATATATAGTGAGCTATGTATATATTGCTCGTATCAACGGAAGCTCTATTGCCAATACTGAATCATATTCTCTCATGAATATATATAATTTAGATTTAAACACTAAAAATAATTTAAGCAACTGACAACGATACCAAAGAATTATGACCAGAAAATGAAATATCCCACCGAATTTGAAACAGATTACACTGTAGGGAGGCTGCATTCACGTGAATAGTTATCATTATCCTTCACCAGGAAGGAGATTCCGTTAAAGACACATTGCGACGATAACACCCTGTAGAAGAACATTTTGTTGAAAAAAAAACAACTTTAGAGAAAATAAATATAAAAATGTACTGTATTTATGTTGTTAAGGATGTCGAGTTGAAACCTTCTGGAACATATATACAGCATACAAATCGAAATAACAAAGAAAGATATGTAATTAATTAAACAAAATATTTTAGACAAATAAAACAAAATAGAATTTTAAGGTTAAGTGGATAAAATAGAAGGTTTTTCAACTACGAAATTGAGAGTGAAATTTAGATTTAGTATCGTTTTGCTTCTTTGTTTGTTTGTTTGCTTGTTTATTTATTTATTTCGTTGTTTATTCTAACTAATTTTTGTTATTTCAGATATATGATGAAAAAATTCCGTATGTTATATTTCCATTAATGCTATTTATGAGAGAAAAATATTTCTTTATCATCCGCTTTCTTCATAGGAAATTTCCCACTTAATCTTTATTTTACAGTGGTTATTTTTCTTTCCACATTTTATTATACTTACTTCTCCGTTTTACTTCTCTTCTGGAAAATAGGCTTTTTATGAAATCCTTACAATTTTCCCAATCGTCAAGATTCTTTTCCCAAATCCGTTTCTTTTCTATCCATAAATTTTATTTGATTATAAATTCACCCCAAAAGCTTTTTTGTAGCATAAGTTGTTTTGTTTTTCTTTTTGATCATGGTGATCATAATTGCTAGTGATAGCGAAACTTTGGCAAATAATAGACTCATAAATGGCGTATTATCACTATAGCTCTTCCCATTGAATCCAGAAAGTGAATGATAGAGTTCATGAATTTTCTAAACTTACAATAAGGAAGGAAACGGGAAAATGTTTCTTTCTATTAGGCAACTGTTCCAATTGAACATTTCTTGGTAATTTACTGAAGAGTTAAATTTCTGTATTAACAAAACTCCTTTAATCAGTTGCCTATGACAACACTGAACGAAAACGGAATATTTATATTTACATACGAATTTAAACATTGTCAAATAAGTTATTTTAAACTTACATCAGCGTATGGAGGCGTGCTGAACAGTTATTAAACTGACTATTTGGTCAGATTTTGGGAAATGTGTCGAAACGAGAGTTTTTCAGTACCGCATGTGTAATGCTTTTTGTATCTACCATATTTTTTTCTCGCAAAATTTCTTAAAATGCGGTCCTAGTACATAACCTTCTGAGGTTTTCGTCAATGTCTATATTCTTATTAGGTCTGTTATTAGCCTTTATTTTCTTATTCATATTTACAGTTAATTTCTGTTTTTGTTTCGTTTTTTTCTTAAATTATTTTTATTATTTTTATTATTTCTTCAAAAAGATTTTTTCTAACTTTGTGGTATTTTTCCAGAACCTCTGTTTAAGTCAAGTGAGTAATCCTCATTCAATCATGGAATTTTTCTCAGTGTACCTCTATACTTGCTACCATTTCTCTCTGTGTACCTCTATACTTGCTACCATTTCTCTCTGTGTACCTCTATACTTGCTAACATTTCTCTCTGTGCCTCTATACTTGCTACCATTTCTCTCTGTGTACCTCTATACTTGCTACCATTTTTCTCTTCCTCTATACTTGCTAACATTTCTCTGTGTGCCCTCTATACCTAACATTTCTCTCTGTGTGCCTCTATTTCTCTCTGTGTACCTCTATACTTGCTACCATTTCTCTCTGTGTACCTCTATACTTGCTTTCTCTCCTCTATACTTGTACCATTTCTCTCTGTGTACCTCTATACTTGCTACCATTTCTCTCTGTGTACCTCTATACTTGCTACCATTTTTCTCTGTGTACCTCTATACTTGCTACCATTTCTCTCTGTGTACCTCTATACTTGCTACCATTTCTCTCTTTGTACCTCTATACTTGCTACCATTTCTCTCTGTGTACCTCTATACTTGCTACCATTTCTCTCTGTGTACCTCTATACTTGCTACCATTTCTCTCTGTGTACCTCTATACTTGCTACCATTTCTCTCTGTGTACCTCTATACTTGCTACCATTTTTCTCTGTGTACCTCTATACCTGCTACCATTTCTCTCTGTGTACCTCTATACCTGCTACCATTTCTCTCTGTGTACCTCTATACCTGCTACCATTTCTCTCTGTGTACCTCTATATTTGCTACCATTTTAACTTTTATTCCCTTTATTTGCTTCTTGTTATTCCTTTTCTAACATTTGATTTTGTTTCTTATTTCCTTCTTTCTCTTGAAAATCCTTATTCACATCTGCTTCTTGAAGCATGTAACAACGCTTATATTTGAAAAAATTAATCTCGCTCATGAGTTATATTCTGTAGCCCATAATTTACTACATAAAAAAGGCATACAACACTTCTTGGGCATATATGGAGGAAAGAGGGCCTAGAAAATCTAACACTCGTATGAGATACTGAATGTAAGAGAAGCACGGTGCAAGATATTGCTGTGCTAGTATGAATGGATGGAAGAACGAGGAGAAATGCGAATGTTAAAGAGTAGAGAGTTTATTTACACCAACAAAAGATAGGAATTTGTAGAGCTCCATGATTCCCCACACCCTGAAGAGGGACGGTACATAAAAGTAAAATGGGGTTTATCATTACTGTTTGCAGCCTCGCTTTAATTGAATAAGGTAACGTAATAGACCAATATTTAACACATTGCTTCGTACGTACAAATCTTTCCGTGAATGTAAATTTTACCCGGTGCCAGATTAATATGAGATGTAATGTTTTCTTGGAAGTATACTTTTGATAATAAGAGAGATGTCCCACACATATGATATTGTATCAGACAAAGGTATGATTGATAAATATATTTTCTTTTCATTCTTCGTGTTTTTATGTTTAATTTCATTAATTTCTTTTTCTTTAATTCAGTTTCTTAATGTTTTCAATGTTTTATGTCGTATTTTCTTTTCTACTCCCCGATTTTTTTATTCTATATATCTTTCAAAAACTACATTTTCCATTAATGTATTTTCCTTATACATGACTGCACTGACTAATATAATTACTAAAAGAAAAAAAGACAACAGTATTTCCCTTTCACTTTCACGTTGCATAAAACTTCTCATTTTAAAGACCTTTCAATTTTCCCAGACCTGTTCACTTAAAAATTACTTTTTCCGCTCGACTTTGTTTTTTTTCTAAATTTTCCAATTTCTGTCACCCTATAAATCACAATTTTTTCCTGATATCAGAGTGCAAATGAAATTAGCGACAAAAATAACCATTTTTATTTGGCCTTTATTATTATTATTATTATTATTATTATTATTATTATTATTATTCAACAACAACAACGTTGCCTGAATTTCAACGCTTAGCCACTTCTTTACAACTTGGCATGTTTATACTCTCTCACTCTTTTCTGTTGTTTCCTCCTTGAACTAAATTTACTGCTTCTCAAATACTTCCCGCTCATTTCAGTTCTTTCACTGCTGAAATTGGAATAGACGTAGTTGGTTAAGATTTGACGTTATGAAAAAGGTAATGAAAATACCCCAGCAGGTCTTTCTTTAAAAAAAAAAAACTATCACTACACCTAAAAAAAGAAAAGAAAGCAGCAAACATACGCAGATAGTATTTGTTCTATCAAAACTGTCAATGGATATAATATTTATGGTGAAGCTCTTGGCTTATCTGATACGGTAATTGTAGAGGACAGAACTAATAGTGGCATATTTTACATAGTTTTGTTCATATGAGAAGACACTGATCAAGTCAGCTATTGAATGCGTAAAATGTCGGCAACGATGACTTTACACATTTTCCTGCAACATTAATATGATTTTCATGTAATCCCAATCTCTCTTAATCTGTCACATAATCTTAATTATAAAATTTAAATGGATCTATTGAAAGCGCTACGAATGTTGGCCCTTCGAAAATGAAACTCAGGTGCTATACGCTCTCTGGTTGGTTTTTCAAATATGTGATTTCTTGATAATATAATCTTGGTTAGCATTGGTAAGTACCATAAAACCGCTCTACGTGTTGATCCAAACCTTGTGTTTTGAATAGGGTAGCCAAAAATTTTCCGAAGACATCGATGCTTGTGTTAGCAGGAAGTCACACGCTATCATGACTAAAGATTTGAACAGACTGTCCTTGTGCAGTTACTGATATCCTATAATCTGTAAGTAAGGTGTTCTCAACTGATTTTTAATAAGAAACGATAGATTGATTCTGTGGTTATTGGCGTATGTATGTGTGTGTGTTTGTTAGGCCGTGAGTCTGTAATAATAATAATAATTTTTCGTGCAAATCTATCCGCTAGCCAATCCTTGCCTCAGACGCCTGCTCAGGCACATTGGTGTTACACTCACACAGGCCACATATGGCGTGATGAATAGTTTGAACAAGTCTAGCACTCTCAAAATCTTGCTCAGGATGACTTGGGGGAGCTAGAAGAGATCCATTGAACAATTTCACTGATATATGTTGCATGTACTTTCTGTCGCGTGCTAGGGGGGATTGCTCAAATTGTTTATAATGAATTTGCCTTGCATTCATACAATTTTTCTGGTCATAGAATGTGCAAAAACTAGAATTGATCTGTGCATCGGTGCATTTTTTCTTCTTTTTTACGTGGTTATGTTGATTTACATACACATATATATATATATATATATATATATATATATATATATATATATATATGTGTGTGTGTGTGTGTGTGTGTGTGTGTGTGTGTATGTATGTGTGTGTCAATATATATGTGTGTGTGTGTGCATGTGTGTGCGTACGCGCGTGTGTATGCATCTATATATAATAAAATAGATATTAATGATAAAGAAGAACAATCAAACTCTCAATAATATCAACTTTGAACTGTCTTGAAATTTAAAAAATGCCCATCCTATATATATATATATATATATATATATATATAAGGTTCTTATAGATTGTTCTTCTTTAACATTAATATCTTTTTTATTATATATAGATGAATACACACGCGCTCACGCACACACACACACACACACACACACACACACACACACATATATATATATATATATATATATATATATATATATATATACTAGCAGCATGGCCCGGCGTTGCCCGTGCTTGATTCAAAAAATCGTACGACTCATACAGCAATCGCTATTACTTAACTTAAAATATTTTTGTCCTTCCTTGCCTTTAAAGGAGTGCCCTTTGCCGTGCTGATGTTGCTACATGCCTTACTTCTTGCCTATCTCACACTGCGAATTTTTCTAAGCTCTATACTAAACATTAAATCTGTTACGAAAAAGAACTAAACAAAATGAACACAAAACGATCAGCTTTAAAAAAAGGACTCGTAACTGGAAAAACCGAATGAAAAAAGAATGTTAACAACAAATACTTTTTCACACCCAACCCAGTTCTGCGGAATCAGAATCAACGTTGAGTTTAAGCAAGCGAATGAGCCAATTGGAGTAAAGCGCCATGCAGATTTAAATTTTTCCCACTTGTGACGAATGTAGCTATTGATTTTTTTTGCATGCTAGCATGCTAGTTAACATTCGTGTCAGTCAGCTGTTGGCTCTCATGCTGGCCAGTAGAATCTTCCTGCCTATTCGTGGCAGCCAGCTATAGGCTCTCAATCTAGCCAGTAGAAAATGGCCGCAAACTACATGAAAACTGCCGTAGAAGCATGAAAAAACGGTTATTTCCACTATCTATGGGAGTTGGGAAATGCAACATCAGTCATAACCTTCCTACTAACTTGGAGCATGTGCATATAAATTTTGGTGCAAATCCGCCGAAAATTGCGGCCGTAGATTCGTTACACACACACATGCTGCCTTATATATATATATATATATATATATATATATATATATATATATATATATGGGTTGATTACTTTTTGTATTATTTTAGTTGTTGGTAGGGAGAGCTTTACTTTTGATTGTGGAAGATGCTATTTTCAGTACCCTAATTATTTTACTAGATGCTTTTGTCAGTACCCTAATTATTTTATATTCATTGTTTTGGGTTTTTTTTAAGCATTTCACCCCAAGCAAGTCAGAAGTGCCATTATCACACAGGGGGTTATGGAGAGTGAAAATGAGAGAAAAGAGTGGGTGTAGGGGGGATTTAAGAAAGGTTAAAAGAACAGGTATTAACACAACAAAACATGGTGACTGAAGTTGCATTTAGGTTTTTGATGATTGTAGTTATCAGGGAAGCAAGTGAGAGGAATGGAGTTCCAATATGGAGAAGTGCAAGGAAAGAAACTGTTAGAAGGGCGGTTACATTTAACTATTTCAACAGTAAAAAGTTGGGACCTAGATGCCAATCTAGTAGTACACTTAAATTCATGTAGTCAGGGCACCAGGAAAAAAATGCTCATCAGTGCAATAGCCATGAAAATATTTGTAGAAAAGACAGAGGGAAGCCACATCACGTCTGTGAGAAAGCGGCTGAAGTCAAGAAGCTAATTCAGTACCGATTACATTACAGATCCTACTTTAGATCATTTTGAGAATATTGCAGCAAGGAAAGGTAGGGGAAAATTTTATTGATAAAACTTTAACTGCACAACTAGTAATAAAAATCACAGAAATGCAATCTATGTTGCTATTCATTTAAACATCATCATCATTTAATAGTAATAATATATATATATATATATATATATATATATATATATATATAAAGTATAATACTAGTAATAAAAGTAATAGACAGATACACACATACAATACACAGATACATACATATATATAAACTTACATAGTTACAAACCTAATATATATTTTTCAGTGTTTGATGCAAAATAAATATCCATTCTTAAGACTATATAATCTTATTTTTATGATGACATTTAAGTATAAATTCCTTTCTCTGGTTCAATAACTGGCTTTGCACCAAAATTTATATGCACATAACTGGATTTGCACCAAAATTTATATGCACACATATATATATATATATATATATATATATATATATATATATATATATATATATTAAGATCAAATATAGATAGGAATGCAAGAGAATGATAGGGTAAGGGACAAATAGGAAACAATTGAGATGTGGAGGTTTATTTTCCACGAGGGCCCGCCAGGTGAAGGTGAGAAGGGGATCACGTCACGATATTTACTCGTTCCCCCAGTAGAACGAGATGTGACACAAAGTCGTTTTAATTTGGGGAACCCGAGCGCGTGCACCCGGACAAAAATTCCCCTCA